CAAAATTTTGCACAGAGTACTGAATTAGGTCCCGACTGATGTATGCGAAATTTCTATATCTACAGGATATTGTAGATATTAACATGTATTGCATGTACCCATAGCGGTGAAGTGTATCACATAGTCGGCCCCGTCCGACTTTTGAACTTTCCTTACTGGTTTTATTATATTTTTTGCTGTGGAAAAGACATTCTTAGCATTTTTTGTAATCTCTATAGATAAATACTTAACAACCTATAATTCATCATTATTGATATTCGTCAATCACATGGCAGACAATCTCGAAAAATCGCACATATACATAAATTATCAAACGGTGAGACGGTGAATAATGTGCCTAGTATTTGTGTTTGCTTGTATTTAATTATGTGAAGAAAACGCATAAAATCTGGACAATGATCAGAATAAAATAAATGTCAAGATCGATTTGTATAGATAACCGATATGCTAAGATATATACTGGCTGCTAGCACACTATCATCATCATCGTCGAATAAATATGCATGATGATATCGTTGTCGCCTGCTACCCCAAAAGAAGTCCCCTGTCGGTAGTGGTAGCGTGAGACTTAATAATGCATGGTTAGGTGACTAAATCTGGTTTTCCTTTTAAGCTTTCGTTTATCTCTCGAATTGAATCGAAATAAAAGATATTAACTTGACGGAACTACATTCCATTGATTATTGAAAGTCTTATCAATGGCATTCATTCTTTATTGTTGTTTGTCATCGAGCGAATTTGAGAGATGTATTTTGTTGTAGATTTTTTGGTTTTCTGTTTTAATGTTGCCAAATAACTTGGTAATTTATGCAAGAATTCTAAGAAATTCAAATTTAATTTAAAGCATTCGTAATCCGTCAATTGGCGCCAGGTCTCCCTGAAACAAGAAAAAAAAACCTGGAATTTGATGGGCCATCAGTTTTGCTTTGTTTTTTGAAAAACATGTCAATTCGAATAATCACATTTTAATTGGAAATTTATTAAAGTAAATCCCGCAATTTAGTTCTACGAAAACTCTCACTGCGTATTAGAGATTCCGAGAAGAATGTTGCATATGGCGTCAAAAAAGAGATCTTTCGATTGAGAATGTCATTTCACCATTTTCCGTATTTTTAGTTTTTTTCCCGCATTATGTCTCCAAAGTGGCTTTTATTTGGGTTTCAGGAGAATTACAGGACCTAGACTTTTAAAAATATTTTTGAAAATATTTTTTCTTTTCAAACACCATAAAATGGATCATAAAAGCGACCTGTTCTTTGCTCACAAAAATACATGGACGGACGGACAAACGGACATGCATAAATCGACACAGAAAGTGATTCTATGCATATTCTTAAAAGAAGACCCATGGTTCCTTTTGAGAATATGCATCGATTCCTTTTGCCTTTTACAAAGATATGTACAACCAGTAAGGAAAGTAGTAAAGTCAGACGGGGTCGACTATATGATACTCTTCACCACTATGGGTATATTAAACAGGACTATTAACATGAAATTGGATGAAATAAAATATGTAATATTTATCTAAATGTGAATCTACCTAGATCTATCCATAAAGTATGTAAATCGACTTCAAACATATATAAATAGGTCATACGTTAGGCAATGTCTGTACTTCTAGAAAACGCAACTACGTAATTCTATGCTCGATTTTGTAAGTTGTGCAAAATTTGATGTCAATCTGACTAACATGAGGAGTTTGATGCCCAATTTACTTGAAATCGGGCGAAAATATATATGGAAGCTCTATCCAAATATTAAGCGATTTCCAACAAACTTGTCACAGGTTAGGTTATACTAATTTCAGAACGTTTTGTTCCTATCAGCCCATTGGTTCCTTGGTGCGTCAATTACTTAAAATCATTCTATAATAAAAGGGAGCTATATCTAAATCAGGACCGATTTTCACGAAACTTGGCAGACATCATTCTAGGCTCAATTCAGTACGTTATGCCAAATTTAGTGCAAATCGAATGATATATAGAGACTTTGGGGCACCATTTACATGAAATCGGACGAAACTATATATGGGAGTTATTTCTAAATCTGAGACGATTTTCTCGAAACTTGGCAGACATCATTCTAGGTTCAATTCAGTACGTTATGCCAAATTTAGTGCAAATCGAATGATATATAGAGACTTTGGGGCACTATTTACATGAAATCGGACGAAACTATATGTGGGAGGTATATCTAAATCTGGACCGATTTTCACGAAACTCGGCAGACATCACTCTAGGCTCAATTCAGTACGTTATACCAAATTTCGTGCAAATCGAAGGATATATAGGGACTTTGGTGCACCATTTACATGAAATCGGACGAAATTATATATGGGAGTTATTTCTAAATCTGAGACGATTTTCTCGAAACTTGGCAACATCACTCTAGGTTTAATTCAGTACGATATTCCAAATTTCGTGCAAATCGAAAGATATATAGGGACTTTGGGGCACCATTTACATGAAATCGGACGAAACTATATGTGGGAGGTATATCTAAATCTGAACCGATTTTCTCAAAACTTGGCAGACATCACTCTAGGCTCAATTCAGTACGTTATACCAAATTTCATGCAAATCGAAGGATATATAGGGACTTTGGTGCACCATTTACATGAAATCGGACGAAACTATATATGGGAGCTATATCTAAATCTGAACCGATTTTCACGAAACTTGGCAGACATCATTCTAGACCTAAATGATTTGGCTGTACCAAATTTCGTGCAAATCATTAAATCGGTTAAATATATATATGGCAGCTATATCTAAATCTGAACCGATTTCCAATTTCAATAGGATTCGTCCTCGGGCCGAATAAGTGACCTATGCCAAATGTCATCCAATTCGGATCATAAATGCGACCTGTACTTTGTTTACAATTTAACATGGACAGACAGACAGACGGACGGACATGCATAAATCGACTTAGAAAGTGATTCTCAAAAGGAACCATGTGTCTACCTCGTTTCCTTTTGCCTGTTACAAACATATGCACAAAGGCATAATACCCTGTACCACAGTGTGGTGAAGGGTATAAAAACATAATACCCGGTACCCCAGAGTGGTGAAGGGTATAAATAGTTAAAATATTTTTTATCAAAATATGCCCCTAATCAAATGACCCCACTGTGTTTAGCTGACACTGTAACTAATACAAAAATATAACAACAATAACAATATATAAAACAGCCAAAATTTTAATAGCTAAACTAACATAGAAAACGCTAAATCATCTAGACAACTGGGTTAGCCTCATTCCATTGAAACAAAAAAAAAACACGCCACTTAAAATTATAACATAATATTCGGAAAACCCCGGCAAACTTTTAACAACACAAACAAAAAAATTTCACCCTTTACGAATTGAAGCAGCAGACAGCAACAGCAGCATCATTGAATCGTAAACTGGCTGGAACCACGGCGATGACTTACAAATCATGACCAGATTTTACTGAACTGGCAATTTGAAACCGGCAATTTGTGGCGCCAAATTAACGGCAACAACAAATATAATTATTCAAATATTTCAAAAAGACAAACAAACAAATACATAGATTATATCACTGAGAGGATTTTAACCTTTCACAAAAAAAAAAAAAAACAAAAAAAATAGCAAATAATGAAAAAATTAAAACGAAGAAATTCCCCAAAAATGACAATGACAAAAAAATATTGGTAAAAGCTTAAATCAAATTTGTTGTTGTTATTCAAGAAATGTTTTTTTGTTGTTAAGGGGTAAAAACCCAAAGACCTAAAACTCGATATAAGAAGGCGTCATAGAAATAAAAAAACCACGTATTTTTTTTTAATTTTTTGTATATAAATTTCTTTGTGTGTTTTATTTGTTTTGTGAGAGTATTTTGAGTTTGTTTCGCTCTCTTTTTTTATTATGTTAATTATAAACAAATAAAATGTTTGTTTTTGTTTTAATGTTTTTATCTTCTAAGTATATGAGAAACAAAAAAAAAATAATTTATCGTACAAATAAATAAACTGTACTTAATTAAATTCATATGCAAATAAGGAAAATATTTTTTATTATTATTTAAATTTAAAAAAATATATATTTTTCCTCTTTCGAGAACTATGGAAATATTTAATATCACATTTGTTTAATAAAAAGAGAAAGAGAGGTTTTTTAGTTTTATTACTTCCTTTCAAGAAAAATATTAAAGGTTATAAAAATGTTTTATTTCAACAAAAACAATAAAAACAAAATAATTAAATTATGTTACGTTAATAGGAACAACAAAATATGACTAATCATTTAAAAATGTCAATGCTCTCACTCAAAAATTTTACTCTCTCTCTCTCTTTCTCTTTTACACAATTTATATTTTGTTTTGCTCAATGAATTTTCTTCTTAATAATTTTATATATTTCTGTATTTTTCCAATATATATATATATATATGTATTAAATATACATTTTTAATGAAAAAGGAAGTGTTTAGAGATTCTTTTTACAAAGGAGAAAATCGTAACATCTCAATATTTTATTTTAAAAAATAAAATAAGAGAGTAACACGTAAAAATCTAAGTGTTTATATCAGCTGTTTACGAACAGCTGTTATTTGTACCCGAGCAAGCAATACAAATTAAAAACAAAATATTGTCTAGGTCTGGGTAAACTTTTATGGTTAATTATTAATTAGGATTCTCTTAGGATTCTCTTCACATTAAAAAAATGTATAAAATAATCTTTTAAAAATTTGGATTTTTTCAATTTCTCATCACATTTCCTTTTTCACTTTCACATTATTATTATTATTTTTCAAATAAACTAATTCCTGTATTGATGCCTTATAAATAATTGCAATAAATAAATAATAACATGCTTACATACTATAATTACTGGATAGGATCGATTGTAACTACCAATCAAAATAATAAAAAATAAAGCTATTAGGTTCAGTCAGTCATTTCAGATGAGATTCAGCAATAATATTCAATACAGGGGAATCCCTGATTGTTTCGTCTTCACAACACCCTCAATTCACACAATATTGGGATGATCTCTCGGCGTATTGACCATCGATTTATGTTGAACATTATATTGCGGATGATAGCGACCATCATCTAAATGTTTTTGCTTAGGTTGTTGTTGCTTCTGCTGTTGTTGTTGTTGACTTGCATGACTGTTACCAATTTTCGCATCAATCCAATCCAGATAATGTGTAACACGTGTAAAGCCGCCGGGTATATTTGTTTCACAACCATCGGCTGGGCCAAAGCTGGTAATGCCCACCACAACCTGGCTACCCTTCAGCACCAAAGGACCGCCCGAATCTCCCGTGCACACTGTCTCATCTTTCAAGCCCTTGGCACACAAAATACCATCTGTGATAACATCAAATTCATCAGCACACTCGGCATTGGAAATTACCCTCAATTCGGTATACTGCATGGGATCCGAATTGGAAGTTTCGCCAGCTGCACCCCAACCGGTGGCCACAACACGTGAACCCACAAATTGATCATTGCGCAGGCTGTGTGGCAAGGTGGCGGGCTTAATACGCGATGAAAATACCACATCTTCGGGTAGCTTTACCAGGGCAATATCATTGGCAGCCGTGCGAGGATTAAAATGTTCATGGACAATGAATTTGTTGCTGCGCATCACAACCTTGCCCGCTTCCACAGATTCATCGACACTCTTGGTGCCCATATAAACATCGAAGTGGGTCACACCCATGGTACAATGGCCGGCTGTTAGAATCCAACGGTTATCCAGCAGGGTACCACCACACAGTATACGTTTGCGCCACAGCTGTTTGCCAATCAGCATCACTTGGTAGGGGAATTTCTCAATGCGGCCATATTTGGATTGGCCCACGGCATACGATTCACCGGCCTTGATTAAAGTCAAGGCCATTATAAGGCTTATTATAAACAGTCGTAATGCCATCATCATCATCAATACCAATCACTTCACTCTTTTTCAAAACTCTTTCAAATTTGTTGTTATTGATATTTGTTTTCAATTCCACAAAGTTCTATATTCCAAAAGGTTCATTTAATTTGTTTTCTTTTTCTTTTGTTTTTATAAAGCACTTAAATGTTTGTCTCAATTTGTTTTATTCTTTTTGTTTTTTTCAAAATTGTTCCGTTTGTTTTATTTAAAATTTTGTATCTCTTTTGAATACTTTCTTCTGTTGACTTTTGTATTTTCTTGATTTAGCGTGTTGTTCACTATTCAAACTCCCGTTTAAATCTAAACTCATTCTAACTGATCACTGAAATTTTATTTCAAAACCTCGAAAGCGAATCAAATTTGCCGCATTTTGCCATGCCTGCGCGCTTTGATTTTGTGGCTGGTCCGCTTTCGTCTCATCTTCGATTTTTGACGCCAAACACACACACACAGAAACCAAAAACAAAAACAAGTCGGCGCCGTTGTCGCGAGCGTTTGCAACAACAAATCTGGTTTTACGTTTCAAAATATTTTTTTGTTTGTTTGAATTTTTGTGCTCATTTCGCGGTTTTTTTTCTCAGATTAATTTTTTGGGAATTTTTGTTATTATTATTATTTTTTTTTTAAGATTTTCGTCGCCAAAAATGCTGCCGGCGTCAACGTCGACGCTGTCCTATCGTGGAGATTCGCAGTTAAGTTTTTATTGGTTTTTAAACTATTTGGATTGATAGCATTCCCCCCAAAAAACAATCCTGAGATTAATGTCAAATGTGATGGTTTATTGATAACAAGCTGAAAAAGAAAGATGAAGACGAGAAAAACTACTTCCAACCTCTTTAGATACTGTTATCAGTTGCTTAAGGTGGCCAGAGGTTAATGATTTTTTGCTTGCTTGTCCTAAATTGTGCCTAAGTGTATTTCCGCCCAATTAAAATGGGTCATGAAGAAGAAGAAGAATTGTATGTGGTAACTACAGTAAATAATAATTATATTGAATTGTAGCATTAAATACTTTTCATAATCATAATTTAATTAAAATATTTATTAGACTGAAAAAAAATTATAGGCCAATAGACGTGGATACACTAAAAATCCACGTCTATTGGCCTAAATCTGCTTTCAAAATTGTATTTAAAAATCCCCACCTTATGCACTAAATCTGCTTTCAAAATTGTATTTCAAAATCCTTACCGTATGCCCTAAATCTGATTATAAAATTGTATTTCAAAATTCCCCACCTTATGCTCTAAATCTGCTTTCAAAATTGTGTTTCAAAATTCCCCACCTTATGCCCTAAATCAGCTTTCTAAATTATATTTCAAAAATCCCCACCTTATGCCCTAAATCAGGCTTCAAAATTCCCCACCTTATGCCCTAAATCTACTTTCAAAATTCCCCACCTTATGCCCTAAATCAGCTTTCAAAATTATATTTCAAAAATCCACGCTTTATGCCCTAAATCAGGCTTCAAAATTGTATTTCAAAATCCCTACCTTAAGCCCTAAATCAGCTTTTAAAATTATGCCCTAAATCAGCTTTCAAAATTCCCCACCTTATGCCCTAAATCAGGCTTCAAAATTGTATTTCAAAATCCCTACCTTAAGCCCTAAATCAGCTTTAAAAATTGTATTTCAAAATTCCCCACCTTATGCCCTAAATCAGGCTTCAAAATTGTATTTCAAAATCCCTACCTTAAGCCCTAAATCAGCTTTCAAAATTGTATTTCAAAATTCCCCACCTTATGCCCTAAATCAGCTTTCAAAATTGACCTAAATCTGCTTAGAAAAATTTATTTAAAAAATCCACGCCTTTTGACCTAAATCTGCTTAGAAAAATTTATTTAAAAAAATCCACGCCTTTTGACCTAAATCTGCTTAGAAAAATTTATTTAAAAAATCCACGCCTTTTGACCTAAATCTGCTTAGAAAAATTTATTTAAAAAATCCACGCCTTTTGACCTAAATCTGCTTAGAAAAATTTATTTAAAAAATTTACGCCTATTGGCCAAAATCTGCTAAGAAAAATTTATTTAAAAAATCTACGCCTATTGGCCAAAATCTGCTTAAAAAAATTTATTTAAAAAATTCACGCCTATTGACCCAAATCTACTTTCAAAAACTTATTTAAAAAATCCAAAATCTGCTTAGAAAAACTTATTTCAAAAATCCCCGCCTTTTAGCCTAAATCTACTTTCAAAATTTTATTGAAAAAATCCAATTTTGTTTCAATATGGTAACCTTAATATTTTAATGACTGACTCAGTTAATTAAGTGTGAAAATTAAAATCACAATAATTAACAAATTCCTGTTCAGTTCACCGCCCAGCACACAATCTCACATAATGTTCTATTAATTAATTAGATTGGCGCCTTTGACTAATTCAGATTTCCAACAAATTCAAGTCAATGCCTTCAATAAAGTAGATCACAAATTCTGGAATAAATAACAATTAAATTAGCCATTAGATTCGAATCTGTACCCAAATAAAAAAAAAAAAAAAACATCCGTCGAATATACGCATTTTTAAAGGGAATTCTTTTCAAAACGATATAAAAATGAATGAATGACATTGGCTGGCCAAAAGAATTTTGTGACGTCAAGTCCAAAATCGGAAAATAAAAAATTAATCTAAAAGATAGAATAACAAAACATAAAAGCATTTTTGGCAATATTTGGCAAAAATATGTGTATTTTTTGTTATTGTTGTTTAAAAAAAAATCAAACTGGAATTTAATGCTGACTGGAGCCAGACATCGTAACCAACCTCCACCATCACCAGCACTATCATCACTAGATTAAAACAAATAAACGAAATTAGCATAATTTAGTTTTTGTTTTTCTTGTCGAAATCAATAGAAAATAAAATGAAAACACAGATTCTTAATCAATAATAATGAAATTCCATAATAGTTTTTTTTATGAATTTAAGAAAAATCTTTTTTAATATTCTTTGTTGCTAAAATTGTTTTTAATCAAATACATGAGACATCACGGATGCGAACGGGAATTTGGTGTGGAATGCGCCACGCATAACTTAACACCAATTAATTAGCAAGTCTTTAATATTCTGCAAATATAGAATCAGTTGTTCAAGGGTGCTGGGAAATTCCATAGAAACAAAAGAAACGTGGAAAACATGGTTATTAAAGATATTTGTAACAACACATTGTCAAAAAACTATACGGCTTTGATATAACATCAGTCAAGACCAATAATTATTTATTTTATTTAGATTTAATATGGTGGACATTTTGTGGCCCATCGGCCATGATATGGAAAAATGAAAAATTTCACATATTAATGTTCAACATTTTTTAGTTTATCACAAAAATGCTAATCACTCACCTTGAAGTGTGAATAAAAAAAATCTCCATCAATTTGAGCCAACTGTTTTTTCGTCAACATCATAAATTACGCCTTCAAAAATAGGAAATATTTTATGCTGATTAGATCTATAACCATATCGATTTTGTTATTTGCACTAAATTTAAACATATCTTATGAATTATTATATCTAAATAATGTGTAAACAAAAAATTTAGCAGATGATATACAATTGACTCTATTTTCTACGACTTAGTTTTTCAAAATCCTAAAGCCTTGTTTTCTAAAACTAAAATCTCGTTTCGTCTATATTCAAGAATCTGTTATTCTGTATTGAAAATATAACTAGATTTCCTTATACAATATCTTTAAAAACAAGTAATCGGGGCAGTATGGTTAGAAGGTGCTGTAACTACCAATGAACTTTATAGGCGCTTTAAGACTATGCCTTCAAAATTGAATGGTTTTCTGGGATACTAAATCCTAGTTGTTTAGACTAGTATTAAGAAGTATAAAGCGTTAAGTTCGGCCGGGCCGAACTTTAGATACCCTCCATCATAGAAATACAGACAAATTTTTGAAATGAAAACATAGGGAACATACATATAACGACAATTCTTCCAATCGATTGTTGTAAACCAAATACAACATTCAGCAATTTCAATGGGGGTTTTCCTAAAATCGCAAAACCTTAAAATGTTGACACGCATAGTACGGTGAAACATGTGTATAAAATCCTGAAAATACTCCAATTAGAGGGCAATATTATATATGAGGCATACTAAAGCGGCACCAATATTGATAACATTGTGTAGGAATTAGCAACTACTTGGTGTTTTCATTATATAAGGGATTAGGCCTAATTAAGGGCCGATGTAGCTCAAGTTCTAAGCTAATATTTTAGTTTTGAATCCCAATACCGTCCATCACGCTAAATATTAAATAGGAAGGATGTTTTATATAGGACCTGGTACTAAATACGGGTCGATACAGTTCATTCTCAATCCTCACGTTTTAGTTTTTATGTCGATATCCTCCGAGCAAAAATTATTACAACATATAGCTAAATCGACTAAATCGTTTTAGAATTCCATACTATGTGGGCTATGAACTGAAAATTTCGTCTACCGAATATCCCCCCTACTATGGTGTAATACAGCTATATGGGATAACCCCAATAAACGGAAAAAATTCGCTAACTATTTTAATATAAAAAAGGGGGTCATAAGGGGACTATACCTAAAAGGGGGTGAATATTAGAATTTTGGTAGGAAGATTTGTTACCATATACGACTACAAAATACCAAATTACAGCGAATTTGGTTTAAAAACGGGCTCAAGAACCCCAAAATAACGAATATTGGAGGGTACCCTTATATGGGGGTTACCCGAAAAAATGGACCTATATTTACAATATTCAGTGGTGAGATTTGCTGCGCAATAAGAACTCAAAGTACAAAATTTCAGGGAATTTGGTTGAAAAATGGGCTCAAGTACCCCAAAATACCGAAAATTGGGGGTACCCTTATATGAGGACTACCCGAAAAAATGAACCTATATTTATATTTTTTTTTTTGAGGAGAGATTTGATACCCAATAAGAACTCAAAGTACTAAATTACAGCCAATTCGGTGAAAAAATCCGGCCAAAACCCCCCAAAAACTGAAAATTGAGA